GTGTAAAATATAGTGATATCTTTATTGCTGTTATTACCATCACTGATTTTAAGAAGTGAATATTTGATTCTCCAGTTCTTTAAAGGCTAACTTCAAGGCTGCGGATGTAGCTCAGTGTTAGAGTACTTGCCTCGCTTGCATGAGGCTCTGGGAGCAAACCACAGTACCACCAAAAAAAAAAAAAAAAAAAAAAAAAAAAAGACTTTTAGTAAAATATTAACAAATATTTCTTTAGAATTATTGGCTTACCATTTAGTTTCAATTATTGTACAATAAGGTGGAAATAATGTTTCATGTTAATAAAGCATAATACATTTCCTGTTGATCTCAAAACAAAGTCAATATAATTTTTAAGAGATCCCATTATAATGCATGTGTAATTTAAGAAAAAATAATAACTGACTTGAAATGAAGTGTTTGTGGCTGCTTGGAAGCACACATTATAAGCAGGGCTGTGTGAGGTACTTGGCTGTATGAGTAGCATCCTGGGGTCGAGCTGCCTTTTCAGTGTCTGCATGGATCTTAAGTGTGATGTACACTGAAGTTCTACCACTGAGATGCATCTCAGCCTTACACCATTATTATGTAGACATTAGTGAGGATTCTCTATTTTAGAAACTATCTTTATCTCGGTCAAGCAAAGGAGTATAAATTGGTGCCTTAAAAAAAGAATTCCAGGGGCTGGGGTTTAGCTCAGCGGCATAAGCACCTGCCTTGCAAGCAGGCGGTCGTGAGTTCGATCCCCGGTACCAATAAAAATGAAAAACGCCCCCCGCAAAAAAGAATCTCAGTTCTAGGCAAATAAGATTTGATACCCTATTCCTCCAAGTTGTGTTACTACTTTTAGTTTAGATTTACACACTATGCCAGTATGGAAAGCATAGAAAGATCAGAAACACTTAGTAAAGTAATAAACTTATTAAAAATTTGGGAAGTTCTTCACTGATTCTGGGAAATGGAGGCTGTGGCTGTTTAATGCAATATATTCACGTTTTAATGCAGGGAGTAATTTTACCCTATATATCCTTTCTAGATAACATACCAGTTTCTGTTTGTTTATTTGTTTTTTTGTTTGTTTGTTTGATAAAGGGTTCCAGCTGGCCTTAAACTCACTTTGTAGCCCAGGCTGGATTTGAATTCTCAGTGCTCCTCCTGCCTCAGCATACCAAGTGTTGGTATCACAAGTGTGTACCCCGTTGCTAGATCATAATAGGAAAGAAAAAGTTTCATGATATAGATCAAGAACAATAACAATGTCAATGATAAGTCACTATTTTAAGTAACTCAAGGTTGTCATTTGATATGAAATAATAAAATTTAAAGCCCATTTCAAAGATGGACTAAATTCCCAAACTGAAAGTAATTGCGGGTCCCTTGTCCTATATGTACACATTATCAATACAACTAAGAAAAAAATTGTAGCCAGGCCTAGACCACCATCAAGCAATTATTATTAGCCATTAAAATGGAGATGTTTACTTATTTGTGGCAACTAGCTTTCAAGAAGAAAAGCAAAGAGGTCTGATTTTGAAATGTGTCTCTTTTTCCTATCTATAACCAATCAAGATTATCTACATCTCCTTGGAAGTATCAAAAGCCCATTTTTTTTATTTCCTTTCATTATTTTAACCAGGGTATTAATAAATAGGGGACAGCAGTTGCTATGAGCCAAAGAAAAATATCCAGACAGTTGAGGGCCCTCCATCTATCAAGACAAACTTTCAGTGTTGCCTCTCTTCAATACCACAGAGATTTGCAGGATTTCATGAAACACGTAACTAAATGGAGGCATATAAAAACAGCATGCAAGATATAGACACAATTTTTTTTCAAAAAAATCAAGGTACTTTAGTTTTCAAGGTACTTTAGTTCTCAATTTTCTAGTCTTAAATTCGTAAGCATGCAGCAGAGATTATCAACTCTGGATAAGATTTCTGAAAGAGTGATTTATGCAACAGCTTAAATATATTCACCATAATTCAGATCTCTTAAAATTAAACATTCTTACTGGAATTGAAATATGTTGTGCACAATTATAGGGAAACAAATAACTAATTAAGTAACAATATTTACAAGCTATGTTGAGTTGCAAAATAAGTTCAAGAATCTGAAATACCAAACAACATTTGGAAATTGGGAGAGTATCTAGTTAGACATTTACTTGTCATTCTAAGAATCTATGAAATTCCTGTGAACAGCAGGGAAGTCATGCATATATTTCCAATAAGTAAAAACTTATGAATAACTCCACTATTTTTTTCTACTGACCCAATGTCAAAATACTTTCCTACTTCAAAGTAGAAGTCCCTTATTTATTAATACCCTGGTTAAAATGGTGAAAGGGAAATAAAAAATGGGCTTTGGATACTTCCAAGGAGATGTACATAATCTTGATTGCTTATACATAGGAAAAAGAGACAAGTTTTAAAATCAGACCTCTTTGCTTTTCTTCTTGAAAACTAGTTGCCATGAATAAATAAGTCTTTGAACTTATTGGATGTAGAAAGGCAATGGATAGAGAATCTTGCCTTAGTGATTTTGTCATGACCTCTCCTTCCCTCCTTTTCTCTAGAGATTTATATGGAACAACTCTCTGGAGTCCCCAAGCTCTAGATCTGGAGGACAATTTAGATGAAGCCCCAGAACAGAACTAGAAGAAATGTTGGACTATGGCAAAACTGTTTAAGGAGGATGTAAACTAAGATGAAGCAGAGAAGTTACAGCATTTTCTAGAACCAAGAGATACAAGATTATCCCTGGGATGTCAAAAATGCACCCTGGTGCCCAGGCACACTGTTCTCAAGTCAAGGAATGCAAAACCCAGAAGTAACCCTAGAGCCAAGTCTTCCTCAGGGCACAATTGCTAGATGGAGGATGCATCTCTCTGCTTTGGGAACCAAACACTAAGAGTAAAAGCAAATATTTGATGCTGAAGAGCTCTTAAGAGCTGAAGAGTGCCATTTACTTATTTCTACACATCAGTGTGGTCTTAGGATGTTAAATAGATTAAAAGGCTAAGAGAGGTCAGTCACTCCAGGGAAGACTCCTCTGTTGCTTCTCCTGACTTCTTTTTCCAAAACTGTTATCCAGCCCACACCACTCCTGTGGAGAGTCCTTGGCAAATTCAAAAGATAGCACATCCTTTCCTAGAACATCCCAGCTGGAGTCAGGGCCCTAAGACCCAGAAATGAAGAAATGCAAGAAAGATGGATTTCAAGACTCCTGAGTTAAACATCACAAGGAAGATAGATTTTTAAAAACAAATGGGACCTCAAAGAAATGAGGTCCTAAAACTAGCAGGACTCTTAGAAATTACCAAATCTATTCCATTTAGGACAGGGAGGAAAAAAGGGGTCAGAGTAGTGAGGTGACTAGAGGTAGCTGGAGGCAGAGCTAGGGTGCAAACCCATTTCCAGGCCTTCTCTTTGACCACGTTGAGACTGGAATCTGAGTGTCCGTCCTAAGGCTTCCGCTAGACTCCTTCGCTCCCTTTCCACCACCAGCTCCCGCCCCGTTCTCCTGTGCAGAAAGAACAGCGCAGTCATTTCAATTTAATCTTATTTTAAAAGACATAACTAATAAATCTATTGCCAGGGCCGCGGAAAGACGGCCAGCAGAGTCGATCGCGCTCCCAGTCCCATTGAACCCCACTGAAAACCATGACAACACCCGACAAGCTCCGATTTATCCCAGCGCGCTAAAGCTCATTGTGAGCAAGCGTCAATCACGCATTATTCTGGACTGAACAAATGCAAAATCTTGACTGGAACAAATGCTTCCAACAGGTCCGGGGCGTCGAGCTCCATTTCCCCTTTGTCCGCAGCCTAGCAGTTGGCCTGTATTGGGGTAGCCTCCGCCCGACCACCCAGCGCGCACAGCAGCCCTGGGCACCGCAGGCACGCTTGGTAGGGAATCTATCGGGAAGGGTGTTCTGAGCTAGGTGGACCAGGCTGCCGCCTCAAGTCAGGTTCGCGTTCAGCCTTGACGGAGCCAGGATTTCAGGTGCAATCACCCAAGTGCAGCACTCATCATTAAAATTCAACAATCAAGTACCAAACTCCTAGAGGCAGGAGAAGAGGGTTTGGAGACAGCGATAGCTTGGGCATTAGACTGAATAGAGCAAAGCATAGAGCAAAGCTATGGGGCCAAAAAAAAAAAAAAAAAAGACTCCCAGTCTGCCCTATTACCTGCACCTGGGTACCATACTAATAATTCTCCTGATCCATAGAGACAGGCAGCATCGCTGGCATCTGCAGCGCTGGGAGCAGGGACGCAGACCACGCGCCGGCTGCTGTGACCTCTGTGGCCGCATCCCAGGCACCGGGACTGAGGTTGAGGCTCAGGTTGGGGCTGAGGCTCACAGAGGTCTCCAGAGCGTGTGGGGACGCCAAGGAAGCCTCGCAGCCCTTTTAGGCCGCCTGCTCTAAGAGACTTTGCCATCCCCGCCTCGTGGAATGGGTCTGGACACTGAGCCGGGGTACCGCGACTCGCAGAGGCCAGGTGTGACTGGGCACTTTGGACCTGAGTAGCGTGGCTATATGCCGCCTCCCTCTCGCTGTCTCGGCGAGACAGGCGCAGGTCTGAGGCTCTCCAGACTTCTTCCTAACCGTTTCATCCCTAAGATGGTACATGGGCGGTGTCCGGTGCCTGTGGAGGCTCCCAGTGGTCTTTAACACTGACCTGATGCTGGCAGGGCCAGGCCTCTCTGTTCGTACCTAGGACTTCCCATCCTTAGAGGGGCCTCACCCAAAACCCAAAGGGAGCGCGCCACAGTTTTAACTCAGCTTTGTAAATCACTTTCTAGATAATTGCTGGAAACCCCACTCCAGTAAACAAGCTGGGGGTGTAGAGCAAACAGGGAATACATTCCAGGGTGCTCATAAACACTCTCCTGCTCCCCCACCCTTCCCAGCGTTCCCGCGGGGCCAGGCCCCACGTCAGCTCTGGAGGAGGAGGAAGCAGAGGCTTGGTTGAGAGGGTGGTGGCCACCGCTCGCCACCCAAGATGTTATTCACTGGCAACAATCCCCATTATCTGTCCCCACTTTAGGCTAATCAGACAATCGCTGCTGCCTCTTAGGCTTTCTGCAGCCTCTGGGAGGTAACGGGGCGCCGAGGGGCGGAGAACGGGGCGGGGCGGGGGCGGAGGTGGCATCTTCCGGGCTCACCCAGGCTTTGGTCCAGCACTCATTCAGGTACTTAACACCCCGGAGACTAGGACCTCGACTTTCAAAGCGGGCTGGGTAGGAAGGCCTGTTTATATAAACAGGGAGTGCGCTATAAATGCGTTAATATCCCCCCTGGCCGGCTCATGGCGAGCGCCTCTCACATCATCCCATAGGAGCAGCGTCCCCCGCCGCCCCCTGCTCCCAGCCTGCCCTGCCCCCGCCTCTTTTCCCTCCTCTCGGCCATGGCCACCTCTGGACGCCTCAGCTTCACCGTGCGCAGCCTCCTGAATTTACCCGAGCAGGACGCGCAGCATCGGCCGAGGCGGGAGCCACCAGCACGCGCGCCCCGGGCGGACCCTTGCGCAGCCTGGCTGGAGTCGGAGTCGGGCCACTACCCCTGTGAGTGACCGAAGGGCCGCGATGGGAGTGCAGGGAGAGCAGGACCCAGTCCTCGGCCTCGAGGGATTGGGAAAGGCGAGATCCCAGCCCAGAACCTGTATTTCTTTAGCCCGGGAACGGAGGCACTGTCCTCCTCAAAACCCTAAGCCGGGTCAGTACACTGAGAGTAGCTCCCTGCGCCTGCTGTAGTGCTGGGCACTTGGGTTTCCGCGTTTGGGGATTGCCGCGGCTCAGAATACTTAAGTACGTGTCCCCATTCAAAGCTTTGATATCCCAGCAAATTGTGGGGCAGTTCATAGGGAAGTGGCCTATGTTGGTGACCCAGCTTGTAGTAACTGGGCAGCCAGCGCTGCTACCAGCCCGGCTAGTGTGAGAAGGCCCTGGGGTTGGTTTTGGTGGAGTAAGGTCTCAGACCTGGTGGTTACTACTGTGGCTGAGGACGAGGTCACTGAATTCCGAGAGGTGGATGCCAAATTTGGAACCTTAGGAAGGAAGTGGCCTCGCTCTGAAAGCCCCGTCCGAGTAGGCGCGCTCTGCTGGACCTACAGGGTCCCCGACGCCCTAGGGGTTGGCGTTTCACCGGCTGCCTGCCCTCTGCTCTTCCTAGCCTCGGACGAGAGCAGCCTGGAGACCAGCCTATTGGAGTCGTCGCAGCCGGCGTCCGCTCAGGCGTCCCCGGGCTCGGACGCCGAGAAGAGGAAGAAGCGGCGGGTGCTGTTCTCCAAGGCGCAGACGCTGGAGCTGGAGCGGCGCTTCCGGCAGCAGCGGTACCTGTCGGCGCCGGAGCGGGAGCAGCTGGCGCGCTTGCTGCGCCTCACGCCCACGCAGGTCAAGATCTGGTTCCAGAACCACCGCTACAAGCTGAAGCGCGCGCGCGCGCCCGCGGCCCCCGAGCCCTCGGACCTGAGCGCCTCCGCCCAGCTGCGCGCCGCGCCCGGCCTGCTGCGCCGCGTGGTGGTGCCGCTGCTGGTGCACGACGGGCAGCCTCGCGGCGGCGGCGGCGGCGAGTCGGGCCCCGCGGCGGCCCGGGACAAGGGCAGCGCTCCGCCTGCCGCTGCCTGCCCTCTGCCAGGCTACGCCGCCTTCGCGCCAGGCTCGGCGCTTGGCATCTTCCCGGCCTACCAGCACCTAGCGCCTCCCGCCCTGGTCTCCTGGAACTGGTGAGGCTGCCGCGGGGTGCCGGTTACCCTAACTTTGCAGTGCGCTTGTGCGACCGCGGTGGGGCTGCTGTGGAAGACCTGGAGCTCGGGGGCGCAGCGCGGCCGGACCCCTCCTCGCAGACACCACCTTCGGGCTCCCGGCCCGCCTTCACCTGCTGTCGCGGAAGCACTCACAGGAAACCTTCGCCAAGATCGCCCCCTCCCTTTCCTTGGACCGCGAACACCAGAGCTAGATTTTATTGCTTGAGCCTTATTTGTATATTTTTAAAATAGCAGTTTGTATAGGAAGCAACTTATTTTAAAAGAAATATAGTATTTTTTTCCTTTTTGTTGTGCGAGAATGAAATGTGTAGGTTTGGGTCCCCTGAGCTCCAGCCAGGGAAGTAGGAGAGAGCTGTGCTCCCCAGACTGAGTGCCCGCCTCCTCCAGTGCCCACTTAGGGCTCAGCCGGGTTGGAATGAAGGCTGAGCGCAATCCAGAAGAATGGGACAGTGGCTGTGGAAGGGAGGGAGCTGAAGCGATCTCGGAGACCATGGTCAGCCAGAATGGGAGCTGGCCCCTGCGTGACACTGGGGCCCCTCGGCTCCTGGAGCTGCAGGCCTTGAAAACACCAAAAGTCAGCCAGGTGGCTGCCACGAGACATGAAAGGCTTCTCCCCAAACGCAAACTAGCGGGGCTGGGTGGGAGCGGACGTGAGAGCTTAGTACTCTGGGGCCCTATGAGCCTGGGCAATTTGGGACCCGCAGTTACGCCTGCTTTGCTTTGGTTTCCCGCCTTCTCTTGACACATTACCTCCCCAGGGCAGGGTGGAATGGGAACAGCCTGAAGAAATTAAAAGGTGGCAGTGAACTATTGGAGTTGGGCTCTGCCTTAAGGCAGTGCCTTGAAGCTTGACGAGGGTTGATCCCTTTGGTGATCCCACATTGGACGGATCCGCTAGTGGGCCTCCTTTTGTCGTCCCCCCCCCCCTCCCCTGGCTCTCTAGGCTCCTAGGACACTCTAGGCTCGGGGTTTGCAACTGCTCTTCTTCAACTCTACATATGGAGCCATAGAGTCTCCAAGTGTAGGCATTCAGTATCTGGCCGCGCGGGCTACAGAAGTTGCACCAGAGGTGAGCAGGCATTGGGTCCAGGGATGGGAACACGGACCCGGATGAGTACTCTGAGGTGCCTGTTAGGGGCCTTGGATTTCTTGTCCAAGCGAGAGAAAGGGAGGAGGCAGTGCTATCACCTGGGATTTTGCCGGGTGGGGGTGGGGGAGAAGAGAGTGGGGTGTTTGGGTCTCAGCTGCCGGCCACCTTGCCTTCCATATGGATGCGGTTATCTTAGAAGAATCTCGATCCTTAAACCCCCTTTTGTCTTGGGAGCTGAAAAGGGCATTGTCAGGCCTGAAAAGGACCTAGACAAAATCCGCACTGTTTTGATTCGGACTCTGTTTAATCAGTCCCTGCTGACAATATAGTGGGTGTTAGGCTGGACAATAGTATCTTTTTAAACCTTGTGGCCTTCAGGAAGACAAAAGACTTGAATTTTATGGGCTTACAACTTCAATTAGAACAGTGCCAGTGTGCATGGGAGATTATCACATTTGTATCATAAAACCCTTTTCTAATAAATGATTGCCGGGGAGGGAGCCTGAACATTGTAGGACATATACTGAGATCTGCCAGGGGCTTCCCAGTTAGCCCTGGCAGAGCAGATGGGAAAGAAAAGGACGAAAGGATTTTTTGAAGAGGTCCTGGGTTGGGACTTGTGCCTGTGGTCAGCTGGCTGGGTACTTGGATTTTTCATGCTCTTCCTCCAAGAATGCGGTCAAAGACATTCAGTCTGTTTAATGCCATTGCTACTGACAAAGACCTGAGTATTCTTGAGGAGAGAGTTAAAAAGAAAACATTGTCTACTTCCCCACCTTTTTTTTTTTTTTTTTTTTTTTTTTGCCAGAACTATAGACAATGTAGATGGAAGGCCTGTTGAATAAGAGGCCCTTAGGGATTCTGGTTTGGAGAGAGGATCTTTACCAGGAGGCTTTTACTAGGGGAGAGTGTATCTGCCATTAAATTCTTCATTGCTCCAAATAGTGAGTGAGCCAGTTATCTAACCAGTAAGGCACCTGGTTGCTTCTCAGAAAGGTGGTTAGAGCTCAGGGAAGATGCTCACTGAGAGAGAGCTGTGTCCTGGGACAGAGGAGGAGCCAGAATTGTGTTCACTGATATTCTTTGCTCCTTTTGTTTAGGCCAGTAAGATCCTTCATTTAGAGAGGACAACCCACAGATACAGTGCAAGACATACCCACCCCACCAATCCATTTCAGAGACCCAAACTCATATTTTCTCCCATTCAAACCTGTAATAAGCTGGAAAAGATAAATGTCAGTTTTCTTTGTGACCTAAAAGGTCAGTTCTCCCGGGTTCTAATAGAAGCTGAATCCAAGGCCTCTCAACTAGTAGCTGTGAAAACAGGGTCTCTCCCTTCCCAGATGAAAGTATTTCAGACCTTTCACCCATTGTCAGCATCACAAGGCACATTCACAAGAAAATTTTCATTGAAACTTACTGTGTTCCAGGTATTTTTCAGGTTATTCACAAGGAAATTCTACTATTTACCCATCTATCTATCGCCCATTTTATACATAAGAAACTGGGACCCAGTGTTGGAGGGAGGCAAATGACTTGCCCAAAGTGGACACAAACCTCAAAGACTGTTACCATTGTCCTCAATCTAACCACCCTACAAGTTGCCCCTAAGGGGGAGAGCTGCCGTAAATATGGCAGATATTTCTCTATGGAACTGTGTTTCACATTTACAGATAATCTGCCAGCATGCTTAACTGAAACACCAAAAACAGATAAACAGAGCTTACACAATATTGACCACACTACACACACACACACACACACACACACACACACACACACACACACACACACACGCAGACCTGAGTAGGAAGTTAAAAAGAAAACATTGTCTAGATCCCAACCTTTTCTTTTGTAAGAGCTGTAGATAAAGTGGATCTTGGAGGGCCTGTTGAATATGCAGCTCTTAGGACTAAGGGATTCGGTTTTGGAGAGAGGATCTTTACCAGGAGGCTTTTACCACGGGAGAGTGTGTCCTCCATCAAATTATGGATAGTCTGGAAGAATGTGAAAACATGCAGATCACTCTGCACAGTTCAGAACCACTCTCAGAGGCTGGTCACACAGCATAACTTGGTAACGCTTGTTCCAGGCAGTGTTCTAAGGTCTTTTTTGTATACTAACTCATTCAACTCCATAAGACAGTACTACTATCCCCACTTTACAAACGAGGAAACTGAAGGTTAAAGAGGTGATCAGTAACTGATCTGGGATCATACAGCTAGCGAATGAGTGATAGACTTTGAACCCAAGTACTGTCCCCAGATCTTATACCTTTGACTAGTGGGAATTATTCTTTTATGTTTTCTGCTCTGAGTTCACAGAGTTACCTTCCTCACAGAGCCTCCTCTAAAGACCTGTTCTTTAACATCTGTCCCTGCTCCTCCCCACCCTCTTCCCCCTCCTTCTACCAAAGCTCCAGCTTTTGGACACAGCTGTTTGGACACAGTGTTTGGACACAGTGTTTCCCCTAGGCCTGTTTGTGTGCATTTTTGTCCAGCTGTCAGTGAAACACAGCTCTTGTCTGCAGGTCACAATGTTCTCCTGTGACTATCATTCCACCATTCTTCTTCCAGCAAAACATCTGCTGCTGCCATCTTGACACCGATTGTCTTCTCCGCGTTCAGGAGGGTCGCTGTTGATTCTGATCTGCCCCTCTGAGCTTTCCTCACCCGGGGCCCAGATCCCACTGGAGCTTTATGACTTTGGCTTTCCTAGGCCTTTCCTGTTATTTTTTCCATTCCTAGGTCTCCAGCTTTATCTTTATTATTAAATATCATCCTGTCCAGCTTTTCTCTCTCCTTCCATTGTAAACATTTTCACTTTATCTCACTTAAGTCTCTTACAGGTAGAGATTGCAATTTTCACTTCAGTTTTCTTTTCCTCATTGTTCAGAGGATCTTACATCTTAGCACATCTCTTATCTGAGAATGTAGCACTTTAGTATCTTAGCTAATGTTCTACTGACTGGTGAAAAGGAAGTTATTTGAGTCCAGGTTAACCTATACCTTCCCTGCTAACAATGGTGTTAAATGTTTATTATTCTCTTGTTGACACAATTAATTTGCCTTTTCCTTGCTCTTACATACTTCACTGCCTTTAAAACACTTTTGATTTATGAATAAGATTCCCAGGCAGGCTGGCTACAGGCTTGGCATGGTTGAGTAAATTTTGCTAACTTTGTTTATCTGTTCTTAGTGTTTCAGTTAAGCATCCTAGGCAGGTTATCCATAAATGCAAAGAAAACAGATTGTTAATTGATGAGAAAGTACTGACTCCACCTCAAGGTGGGACAGTTTCTGTGAGTAATTCTACTAGTTAGCATTCAAAATCTGAATGAGAAAATGCACCCCTCCAGGTCACCCATCATTTTTCTAAACCATGCTGTGGGCAGGGATTTACTAAGCAGTTCAGACTTTCCATGCTGTACTTGTTCACTCCCCTTTGGCTCCCATCCATGTGCATGCACACACACAAACAATTAAGGATACACCAGCATTCCCCTTTCTCCTATGTACTCACCACTCACCAGAAAATTGAACAATATTCTCTTTAATGCAGAGCTAGAGTGGTGATTTAATTTTGGAGGGATTGCTTAGGCTATCCAACAGTCAAGTTCTGCTCCAACTCCTTTCCTTATCTGTCCCCAAATTTCAAGCAAGGGATTCTTATTTTTTCCAGCTATGTCCAGCAGAGAAGTTTTAATGTTTATTTAGAAAAGTAGCATCCACACAAATTAGAGGGGGAAGGACTGGGAGTATAACTCAGTGATACAGCCCTTGCTTAACAGACATGAGGCCATGAGTTCAACCCTTGGCGTGGAGGTGGGGAACCCCTCACACCCCTGCACACATTAGCCAGCCTGGTGCTGCATGTCTATAGTCTGAGCTACTGGAGGGTGAAGAGGGAGCATCTCAGGTTCAAAGCTCAAGACTAACTAGGCCATCTCAAAAAAATTAGCTGAGCATGGTGGCACACATCTGTTATCCTGGTACCTGAGAGGCAGAGGCAG